AAATATTTTTAAAAACATGAATTTTATTATGTTATTTTATAGTTAATTTTTACTACCCGACCCGACTTTTTTAATTTTTCTTTTAGACGAATATTTTCTTTTTTGTTGGTTTTATTTTTTTTCTCTTTTTTCTTATTTTTTAATTTATAAATAATATAGATATTACTAATATAATCTATTAAAAAACGTAAAAATCAAAGAAAAATTAAAAAAGTCAGGTCAGGTAGTAAAAAATTAATTATAAAATAATTTTTTTTAAATATTTTTATACTATTTATTATTTTAATTTATTTAATTTATATTTTTTTAGAGTCAAAAAAATACAATTGAAATTTTTGTAACTTCAAGGAGAGATGGTTATTCAATATAGAAAATAGAATAGAACCCACTAGAAAAATTTCTTTACATTTTATTTTTTATTTCTTAATTTTTTACATTATATTTTTTTAATATATCGATATTATTATTATTTCTATTTTTAACTTGATCACTTTTTAACGTTAACGTTAATATAGATATGATCGGTCCAAATTTGAAACAAATCACGTGAATATTTATCATATGAACGTGATTTTATTGATTGGCATTTATTACAATTCAGGCTGGCACTATGCTAATGCTAAATTATTATAGTGCCAGTTATAGTAGGGCACCTAAACCATCGAGAGATCCACTAAATTGGTTTTCAACGAAATTAACGTTAACGTTAAAGCACAGCCCTCCGTTGTTAGCGTTAGTGTATATAGAATCTTCTAATATACTAATACCGATATAATATCTACACAAATATTAGATGTGGTAGAAGTCGTCTAACGTTAATACGTGCAGATTCTATTGAATTTATATTGTTTACAATAGGATTTGCACATCGGTATATCAAAAGTTAACTGTACTCATGTGATAACACCACATTTTATTTACTTTCAGCATTGTTTTTAATTTTCATATCCGATATCCTCACCACCTTGAAATGGAAACTAAAATATCGCGAGCACTCGCTGGAGCGCTTCTTACACTCGCTAAGGTACACGAACAGAAGAATGAGTTGGAAGAGGTGTTGCGCAACTACAAGATTGGTATGTGATTGGCATGTGATATCTATGCTTGCTATTAATAGTTATAGATTCACCCATTCCTTCCAATTTTCCTATTAACAAGAAACTCAACAAGCAAATTATTTCGATAAAAAACAAGATATATATTGGCAAATACGTTTCATCTTCTTCGAGTCAACCTTCAGCTAAAGATCACCATTTAACAGAATTGGCTAAAATAGTAAATGATGAAAAAAAGAAACTAACTGAGATAATGATTTTGAATATTGTTAATTCTGGTGATTTAAAGCGAATTTTAAAACTTAAAGAGATTGGGGAAAAAAGAGCTAATAACATACTGTAGTTTATTAAGGATAATGGTGATCCTATAAGTGAGGTATTGAGTCTCTTTCATTAATCAATTAATTAATTTTTTAAGACGGATCACATTAATGCGAATTCTTTAATAGATATCGATGCTACGCCATGCAGGCATAAGTGATAAAGTCATTGATAAAATTGTTACTGTAAGAGGTTTTATTTTTTTATTGTTTGTTAAAAAATTAAAAAGTTACGCGTAATTGAATAACTAAATAACTATCGCTATTATGATTTGGTTTGCACAGAAAAATATCGATATTTGTAATAAAAGAATAATACAGTAGTATTATCTCGACGCATAAAATCTTAACGATAACATGGATAATATGTAAAACTTTACTGTGGAAGCGAGTATAATAATGACGAGTGAGTATCGACAATATTAGAAGATGCAGTAAAGATAGGCAAAAAGTGCAAGCTATGATAGGAATTTATTTTATAGATAGTATAATTGTATTGCTGGGGGAGATATGAAAACAAAAAATTGGGTAGGTAGAGGAATAATAATAATGGGAGTAAAGAAAAGGTTATATTATGTAAATAGTAAAAAAACAGATTTTAAAACAAGAGTGTTCTTTTATACTCTAAACATTAAAAAAAATTTGTACAGAATAAGCATTTTCCGAGCCAAAATATACTAAGAGAAAAATTACCACCGATAGCATTTTATTATACATGTTTGAAGACTGTAATCTATTCTGTGAGTTTTCAGCTTTTTTTGGTCACGATTATGATGTATTTTAATCAAATGAGCTTTATCGTTATAAACAAGTTAAATGATCAAAATTCGGAACGATCTACATGATTAAATTTGTTAATCTTTTATAATGCTGGCCAAAATTCAGCATAATTTTGATCGTCCAAAAATGGTAAATTTTTCTATAATACCAAGCAAAATTATAAAATTTCTGGCCTTCCGCCAATCAAATACTAAATTTCTAATAAGTAACATTCTTTTAAGGTTCAGAATAATCGATATTATAGATGCGCAGTACGTAGAATACTATGTACGAACATTGTAATATACATGTGATTAAGCTATTATTTTGATTAGTCAGAAAGTTTCGTCACATGTTTTATCAATCGTCACATGTTTAGTCAATCTTCATAGGTTTTGTCTGAAATTATTTAAATGGTATGATGTCTAATAAATGACTATATAAAACTGATAATAACAGTTCAACATGGTATTTTTAAAAGTTGTCTGTTCTGTTATTGAATTGATGGTTCTATTTTCGACAATGCAATATTGTTGCTGCAATTACTAGGATTGTTTAATGACAAAGATCTTGAAAAATGGGGTTACTTGTATTCCTCAAGAGGAGTTCAACTATTACAAGAACACAGAAGAATCGCTAGTCATATTGAGACCGGCACTCAAATTGTACAGCAGGAGAGGTGGGTTAACGCGGAGAACGGAAAATCCCTGCTGATGCAGTGTCATCCGGATGGATATCCACAGGAGCGACTATATGTTGCACGAGCTTGGCATAAAGAAAAGGTGAGAAGATAGCTTGCGGTGGTTAGGAATTTTGTAAAACGCAATATGAAGTGTTAATCATTCCTTCGCAATTTTATAAATGGTTTCAGTGTTCTTCAGTTTACGAATTCCGAAAATGGCTGTGAAAGGTAGGTTTGAGAACACTATGTAATTGGTTCAGGATCATGACAATCTCAAAGCTATTATGACTAGCGTAGATCGTTTTTGTCAAAGTAAAGATATTGTACAGATAGTTCTTGTTTCAATTTTAAATACAGTCAACCCTCTCTATTATCAACCTTTTTAATATCAATACCTCTTTATTCTCAACATTTATTGCAGAACAAATTTTGGACTAATATATTGATACTAACTCTAACCTCTGAGTTATCAACCCTCTTATATATCAACAAAAATACCTAGTCCCATCATGTTGACAATAGAGAGGGTTGAGTGCATTTGTTTTATATTCTATTTGAGTGCTTCAAGAATGGACCCTTCCGGTTAAATTGAAAAAATTATCATCTTTAAATTTGCTTATTTTCTCTTCATGCTCACGATCACAAATTTTTCTTATGCTTGGACCGGAGGAGTAGATGAAAGTGCTAGAGTCCTTATAAGAAATGGGTGCCTGTAAATTTCTGTAAAAAATACGAAAATATAGAACAAGTCTGTTGCATTCGTAAACACACGTTGTTTTGCAGATATTTATAGATGTATAAACGCGAAAAATTGCATAATTCTGTTGGTTTTTATGGCACTTACTTGTGCAAATTACGTCTATAAAAACGTATAAAGTGAATTTTTCATATTTCTGTGTTTTTTACAGGCACTCATTTCCTATAAGTGAGCTAATTGATATCTAAAATATCAATATCACATAATTCTAAATTAACAAATAAACTCGCTCGAAAAATTAAAGTAGCACTTTATTAAGGGGTGACATACATATATATATATATATATATATATATATATATATATATATAAGGAGAAGGGGACTCAATTGTTTTATCTATCAAGTGAAACCCAAAAGTATTCTGATTATTTTTTGCAAATACCTTAAAATATCTCCATGGTTTAATAATATTGAACAACGGTCATACCGAGAGTTGTGCAGCATCTCCTGCGTTAGATAATCATTCATGAATTAATTCTTCCGTAATTAATACATAAAAGCAAATGTGATTAGAAACAAAGGATCAGACTGCAATTATTCCGTATCTTCGGATTAGTTCTTATTGAAATGAAATTTGTGTTGATTGCTATAACTAATTTTCTTAAATATATTTATGCAAAATTTTCTATTTTCTATCCCTTTCAAAACTCATTCAACTAGGGTCATCATATCTGGATCCAGGTCACCATTGTTTAACACGAGTCTACAATTATCTCTGAGATGAACCAGTGTCGAATATCCCATCATGTCTGAATTGTGCCAAAAATTTCAAAATCGACTAATCTGATAGTGTGTACTTCTAGAAGAATGAAAGTTTCTTCTGTCAAAATTAATTAAAAAGATCATTGATTTCGATATATAGGTTTTATTAGACAAAAAATCAATTATTCTATAAATGGTTGAGAAATTAAATTCCGCGCCAAGGTTTCAGACTCCCTATGAAAAAATTCGTGGGGACTGCATCAAAAATAATATGGAATAAATTAAGAACTGCTCCGGAATTAGCGCAATTTCAGGAACTACGTAATCCGGAAAATGCGCAATAATTCTGTGTATATTTGGGGAACCGGTTACGGTAAGTTCATGAGATTAGTTCGGATCGACAAAGTTTTTCATAGGGAATGAGTTTTATATAATAAAAAAGACGAGAAAAACAAAGAAGAAAATATTGTTAATGTGTATGTACATATAGTAAAGTAATACGCAAAGATGCTCCAAAACGAATGAGACTGTTTTTTTTTTACTAAAATAAAGTAATACCATATCATTCGAGTGCTTTATTTTTAAAAGAAACACACTTTCTGACATATCCTTTTAATAATTCTTCCCCTATTAAAAGTTACAACAGAATCCAACACCAAATTAAAAATATCAACAAAGCATACGTCTACGACTACAGCGCTGCTGCTATAGCCTTCAATAATCAAGTTTCAATTCGAGTTTGTCATTTGGATGGTTGACACAAATATTATAATTGTATTACAAATTCCGTTGCTTAGTTAATTGAACTTTGGGTTCATTAGTAATTCTACGACTTTGTAACCTCGCTTTTCATAAGGTGATATTAATACTATTAAAAGTACCGGCAAAACTTGCGTCAGATGCATGAATGATGACGGGGTTACTGAAGTAGGATCTTGTCTTTGCACTATTCCCATATGCTCAATATACATGTATCAAAAAGCTTAACTGGAAACATCCTGAAGGTTAGAGTTTGGATCCGGTTTTATTTTTAATACGTATCAAAATTAAACCGGATCCATACTATACTGAAGATGCAGTTAATTGGTTTAATTATGATAATGTCAAGAATGACATCACCTTTTTTACTAGCAAAAGATTTTAGAAAATTCGATAAAGCAAAATTAATGACGAAGATAATAATATTCTAAAGGTTTCGTATAAATCGATCATTTTCTTCATTTTGCTGTAAGGTTTTCTTTATATATTAGACTGAGTATATTATTTATTATTCTTATATTATTTACATAGAAGACGAGAAAGAACGAATGATTACGGGAAACGAATCATCGATTACGGAAAAGGAAAGAAAGGAAAGAGAAATTGATTGGTAATTAAATAATAATTATTCTTTCTTGACAATCAAGTAAATACATGTATTTCGTTTAAAAGTTAAACCGATACCTTAATTAAGTGTTGGTAGCTCTATTGCTGGAAAAGTGATTTTGGTGATGCTATTCGAGAATTACTCGAAGTCGTTGATGGTTGACAAGTACGTAAGTAGAAGAGTAGTCAAATATTTTCTGCAAGAAATTTATTTACTACCAATAAACAACAATTCTGTCATTAAAATCTGCAAGTAAATGAACGTCGTCTTACATTAAGAACCACTAAAGATTTGTACGTACAAATACAAAGTTTTGTCATTGTTGATTAATACAAATTTGTCTCTGATCTTCGAAAGATCTACTGTTAAATGCAACCAATAAAAATTTGAATCCATTGGTAATGAAAAATTCTTTTCCTAAAACAATGGTTTGTCATGAAACAGATACATGTAACATTATCTGAGTTTGATTTAACGCTAAATAGAAATTAGTGATTTATTAGGTAACGGTAATCAAAACTTAATACATGTATTAAGTGCATGACAATTTGTTCAATGATTACATGTAGTCAAGAATTTTATATTAATTTATGCTAAATAAATTATGTTTCATGCATATGCAGAACATGAATACGTACGTATATGTTTAGTGTTGGAGATTTTCAATACATGTACATGTACATGTATCGGTATTAGTTAACCAATAAATAAAAACAATTAGATTCTAGACTAGCTTTCAATATTAGTTTCAATTGATGTAAATTATTCAATTAGGTTTGATATTAATTTCTTGTTATGTAAATTCTTCAAACAGCAAGCATGCCATGATATCTGAACACATGTGTATTTGAGAATAGACGACCATCTTTTTTCATCGACAATGATATTGGGTTTCATTTGTTATTTCGCATTGATATATTCTAATTCTGAATACAGATTTTATATTGATATATGAAAATGGAATACAGTATAATGTTTTGAGATCAACCGTAAATTTGGCCTATTATAAAAATATGTTTACGCGCGTTGTAATAATTGATTGACCTACAAAAATGAAAGACAATCAGAAGCTTTTTATTTATATTAAATCACATTGTTTTCCTCGTAAATTAAGTGGTAAACGACTATATAAAGAGGTTGCTCTAAACTCTTGGAATCTAAGCAAGCACGTTTGCTTCACGTATGCTTCACTTGCTCGTTTTTTTTTTGTTTGAAACCCCGTTTCAAATTCAAAAATAATCCTCTTCTTTATGATTAAGCTGCTAAACGATGACGACAGATAAAATATCAATTCTTTGTTTTTTATACGAACTTCGGAAAAGACCCCTGTCGAAATTCGATTACTAAAGTCAATCTATACGACACGAAAGAATCTCCCACCACAAGGGTGTAAATGGCAACGACTACGAACCTTCTTTAATTATACCAGGCTTCGACTGCTTTTATATAATTTTTCCATTACTTTTTTGTATCTTTGCCAATTTTCTGATTTGTAATTTTTTTGCAAGTTTCTAAAACGAACCTTATTGTCTGTTAACTTTTTCTTTCGCAATTTCGGTTTTTTCGTCCTGTAGTTTTTTTCTTTCTCAGATTCAAAACTCGTTCTATTACGATATTTTCGGTTCAATACTCGATAATTTTTCAGTCAGCATTTAAATCAAATAAGCTAATTTTCCTATATTCAATGCTCATTTATTTTTTATTTTGTCATTCTATCTAACTTTCTTTCGTGTTTTTTTTTATCTAGTTTGTTTATTTTCACTATGCATATTATTGATATAAATTCCTACCCATTCCGATATATTGTATATGCAAATAAATATAATATAAAATCAGCTTTAAACAAAAAATATATATTAAATTTATCACCGTTTAATAAATATTATTATCAACTATACAACTTGTTCCCTCTGAGAAAGTGTTACAGAATTGTCGAAAGAATCTGGATTAATTAATTGTATATTTTTATACGGAGTTGTTTTCCATTTCATAACGAATCAAGCGTATTCCGCATCAATTTCGAGTCAAGTTGAATCGTTTCGGAACTGTAATGGCTATAAAAAAACTCCGTAAAAAATATGCACTAACTTTCAGGTTTCAGGTCATTTCGAAATATTTTGGTCAATTCTGTAACAGGGGCTTGGCATTACATATTAAGGGTTACACAATTATCATTCTTTCAGATTGGTAAATACATGTATATCAAATACCCTAAAACTTGATGTAAAGTTTCACTTTGTACGTAGCTGAATCTTATACAAATAATTTTTTCGGTAATTTTATATTAACTTTCATATTTTTTGTCACTTCGTCTAATTTATTCTATAATTATCCCAAAAAAGATTAACGCTAGCTTTAACAAAAATTACTGTATCGGTATTGATGAAATATCTAGTTTGTGCACAT